CTAGATGTGGAGGATGATATTTTGATTAGAATTTTAATTTAGACAAAGAAAAAATGCTTTTTCAGATATCAGGAATAAATATTCCGTAAAACTAATACATATCAAAACGGCTTGCCATAATATGTTGTGTAATAAATAGTATCTTGAGTGGTAGTAGATCAATGTATCTATTTAGGTGAAAGTCTAGTCTTAAAATGTTCTAATATATAGAACCTGTGCATCATCGCATGGCTCCCTCCTCATGTTGATTCAGTCTTCTTTTACACAGTAAATACTAAGTGTCAGTTTGCAGCCTTGTTACGGATGTTATTGTCTCAATATATGGTTTTCATTAGCGTCTATCAGGCCCATAGAATGCCTTCAGATTGTGCCAGTAGGCTCAGTAGGTTGTTATCATTGAGTCAAACCCAATCCTAACCCTTAAGAAATTCTATTTCCCCTCTGGAATTAATGAATCTATTCATGTGTAATCTGAAAATAATTTCTGTAGTTCTTTATGTACTGTGAATATAACTAAATAAAAATAATATGATACGCATCTCGCTTATATTAAACAAACCCAAAACATGTAATCTCATGTCCTGTCAACTCAGTTGTTGAATCCTGTGCCTACAAATATTCAATTCTCTGTGAAAAATACCAATCATTAAGATCCTCATCAAAAGGACATGCAATGTTTCTTTTTGAAACCTAATGTGTCCAACAGACCCAGTGAGTGATTTTTTTCTTTTTTCATGCACAAAACTACGACAAAAATCTTACTAAATCAAGAAATAATGAGAACAGAGGCAGAGGACACTTTGCATTTACTGAAGAAAACCTGCTACTGACCAGGTTAGCTCTGGGGAGAATGTTACTACAGTGACTGAAACAGAGGTTGAGGAAACTCTCTTCGTGAAATGGAAAAATCTGAATTTCCCATATTTCAGGTTAAAAAAACGTAAGAGTTTTCAGTAAACCTGCTTCATGAATAGGACCTCACATCTTGGTGTGTGGATATCCAAGTTACAAAAAAACAAACAAACAAAAAAAACAACAGCAACAGCAAAAAAACATCCTAGAACAGAATTAAAAATAAATTTTTTGTAATATCCAACATTTTGCCACAAAAAGAGCAAATCCTGATATATATATATATATATATGTTTTTCTTTTTAATCCAAAAAAAGACGGTAGGAAAAAAAAGTGTCCTAATCAGGACGCTCTCCATTTAATGCCGCTGTGTGTGTTAATAAAGATCTAATAGGACCAATGGATGGTGTGATCTTTAAAAACAGCAACCTGATTTACAGGAACCACACACAATACTCAAACTTTATCTCCAGTAAAGTTGAAAAAAATAAAATAAATTATGAACAATTTTATATCATGGTACAGTTTCTACAGTCAGCATCAATTTTACTGTTCTTAGATTTCACTAATAGATTTTTGTTAACTTGCAGAAAATATTTATCAAGATAAGCACGTTGGTGAAGTACCCCCATAGAGATATTGTTAAACCGAAGAGGAAAAAAGTGGTTTCTTCATAACAAGAACTGAATGTGTTCATTCAATATGTAGCAATTGAACTTTAACAAAATAACCTTCACAAATAAATATAGAACTCCTTAAAAGGGCCTAAAAATTTATAAAGTGAAAGTACAGATGACTTTGGTTGAGTTTAGATCAGGACAAGCAAATTTGTTTCCAATTTTAATATTTTCTTATAATTAATTATCTAAACAAAATTAACCAGAATGGGTTTTTCTCTTTCCTAGTGAGATCTTTTCAATATATATACTATTAAGTGAGAGGCAGAGCCCTCTGGTGTTGAGGATGAGAATGATTTAGCATGGTACCAGTGGAATAAAATATTTGCTTGATAGAATCACCAGTCAAGGGTATGTCCCCTTTGATTAAGTATTTTATTGTTTCATATCTTCAAATTATGACAAAAATCCTGTGGAACATTCAAAGAGCTCAATATTCTTCATGGAAGGGGTACTCTGGGTGATCGCTCCACCTGTGTCAGGATTAAGAAAAAGATGGGCCATATGTAAATAGTCTTTTTTATACATAAAAAAAAAAAAAACTAAATAGCAGTAGTTCATACATACATCAGTAGCTCAACAAAGCGGATGTTTTTGTTCAGTCCTTCAATGGCCTTCATCTCTCTCTCCGTAAGGGAAAAATCAAATATCTGTCAATTATAATGCAGGGAAAAGAAAGCAAGATTAATGAATGGAGAAAAGTCTGCTGGAACAGGGACTAAAGGCTTTGATTTGAATTTGATTAATGCTGTTTTTTGGATAATTTCAAACACAGACGTGATTAAATCTACTGTTATAAAACTCAAGGATGAAATCAGCGTCATTGTCTGGAAATCAACTCTCATTAACAGTTTTTATTTAATCATTTGAAAGCCAGAAAATGTTGATCATTTATGTAAATAGTTAGGTTACTTTTTCATTGACTAGCTGCTATTCTAACATTACTTTACTCTAGATGCCTATAGAAATGTTTCTCAAATCAGTCGAGATCAGCCTTCAAGTTTGCTTGTTATTAAGGATGCAACAGAGTAACATTGAAGTCGTAGCGAAACGGCTGTTCCAACCGTTGCATTTCTTAATTCTCCCGAGTAGTGCCCAACTTTACACGAGTGAATAAAGTGAATGTGATTGGCAGTTTATCAAGAGGGCGGGATTGTTGTGGCAGAAGGTTCACAAGCAAGTTCAATTGTGGCCAGTTTCTCGGAAGCATCTTGCTAACCAGTTAGCAACTTAGTGCTAGTAGGTTCCCAATGGGAAATTACATTGGGACCAATTAGCACTAAATTGGTTACTTAGTAACATTAGATTTCATTAATAGATTTTTGTTAACTTTTGTTAACAGAAAATATTTATCAACATAAGCACGCTGGTGAAGTACCCCCCATAGAGATATTGTTAAACCAAAGAGGAAAAAAGTGGTTTCTTCATAACAACAACTGAATGTGTTCATTCAATATGTAGCAATTGAAGGTTCACAAGCAAGTTCGATTGTGGCCAGTTTCTCGGAAGCATCTTACTAACCAGTTAGCAACTTAGTGCTAGTAGGTTCCCAATGGGAAATTACATTGGGACCAATTAGCACTAAATTGGTTACGTAGTAACATTAGATTTCATTAATAGATTTTTGTTTACTTTTGTTAACAGAAAATATTTATCAACATAAGGACGCTGGTGAGTTACCCCCCATA